GCCATTGTGAAGCCGATTAGGGTTGCCCTTCAGGATAGAACATGGCTGGGGTGAGGACACCCACAGCTTGTCCCATTGAGCCAGACATCATCTCAGTATCGAGCGTGTCATCCTGGGACAAGCCGCCGATGTCCGCGGGATATGTTAGCTTAAGAGCCCTATAAAGGGATGGGTGAACAAAAAGCGGGACCCTCCCCTTACATTGCTTTGTTTCATCTAAATTTTCTTCAATAAGGACGGCAGCTGGGGGCACCACTTTTAAGGACGACTTTGCCTCCTCTATCATGCCCCAAATCTCCCGCGTACCCGGGCCAGTTCTTACGACGGTCCACAGGGTTCGGGCCTTCTTGAAATTTTCCGGCACCTCCACATCCACCCCATTGATGTGCCGGAAGTTCCACAAAATTTTTAAGGGCTTCGGGTTTTTAGTTTGCCCGAAGACCCTTTCCGCCTGTTCCCGGGATACGCGGCAGACGTCTTCCCCTGGGAGATATGGTGGTTTCACTTTCTTCTTTTTTTTTCTGTAGCAGTTTGCGACTCCGGACTTCTCACTCTCTTTTTTTGTGGTGTAGGAACGGGTGTAATGTTTGGAGTGGTGGAAGGAGTCATGCCCGAAGGCGTTCTCACGGGTGAAGGTTTAACTGAATGATGAGATTTCGTTGGAGAGTTCGATAGTGATTTCGGTGGAGGAGGTTTTATGAAGGCTTTTTTAGATGAAGTAGGGGAAGACGGGGCAGAGGATAGGGGGCCCGGTGCCCCCAGCGATTTTTGGTTTTTCCCGCGTTTCGTCTCCAGTTTCTCTTTCAGCTTCTTTAGGTCCAGTATCTTTTCCCAGCTTGGTTCGTTTAATTTCTGGGTAACCGTAGCATTCTCTCGATAAGACGCCGAGGCGTCGCCCTCAGAGCTGGTAGAGGGAATGGGGCTGTAGGTGATTTTGTCCCTGGTGTCATGTTGGGACTGAGGAACCGCTGTTTGGGTCTTCCCCTTGCCCCTAACCACGAGGTGCCATTCCCCCTCATCCTTCTCCTTAACCACACTAGTGGCAGGCGTTGGTTTCGGGGGCAATGTGGGATTGGACCCAACCGAGGGACTTTGCCCATCGGTCCGCCTCGCAGCTAGACCCATTACAGGTGCCGCGGATTTTTCCTTATCGGCCAAGGGGGAATTTTGGTCACCTACGACCGGAACTCCAGGGGCCTTCTTCCCTGGGCAGGAGGAGGAAAGGTGACCAGTCTCTCCACACCTCCAGCAAGTTGGTCGCCTACCAGTCACTATGACCGGCATTTTCCGGTCGCCTAACACCAAACAGTTGGGGACGGACTTGAAGGCCTCTTGATCGAGCATGATGTCAAAAGTCCATCCCTGTTCAAATTGTCGGAGAGAGCCCTAAAATCTGGCCGTACTGCATAAAAAATGCAGCCAGGAGCTCTCCCGAAATTTGAGGAGGAACCTCGAAAACGGCCACCCTGGTCCGCCTGCGGCCTTTGTATTCGGTCCTTAATATCAGATCTTTCGTAATCAATTCTTTCTTGGCCATATCCAGGCAATCTTCTGGTGTGGGCAGCAGAATATCCCATATGCAGAAACCCTTACCTTTTATAACTCTTTGGGGTTTTATCCCCAGGGACAAAAAGTGATTTGATCACAGTGTCTTTTGTGGAGCGACAAATCTTTCTGGTTTTCTTGTCGACCACAAAAACGGTCACCATTCTCTTGGAGAACATATCGAGTTCCTGGACATCATCGACGAATCCATCTTTATTAACCAGATGGGCGTATCCTTTCGCCTTATCCAGGAAATCCGCCATGTTCAGTATACAGCTAGTGGGGGACTTCCAACAAGAGGGCAACTCCTCGGTCGTTTTAACTGGCGCCTCTTTAGGCACATTATCCGTTTTGTTAGCTTTTCCTTTTCTGGAGATGCTAAGGTCAGATTTTGGCTTTTTTTTCAGCCCGCTTTTTTCCATAATTCTCAGTTGGGTTGGCATTATCAACCTTCCCAAACAGGTCCTTTTTTACCATCGACCGACTGCCTTTCGTCGGCCATGTTGATAAAACGTGGAGATAAAACTAGTGGAGTAATTTACACACACAAATGAAAGGAGTTGGGGAAAAATAAAAGCAAAATAAAAACCTGGATAAACCAGGAAATTAAGATTTAAAGATAAACCAAAAAAAAATAAATGACAAAAACTGAAAGAAAATAAACAGGTAAGACTTTTTTTTTTAAACAAAAATAAAAATGGCGCCCAAGGCAGCCGAAAATAAAAAGAAACCAGAAACTTCTCTCAAAGTCCCGTCACAAAATGACCATTATCTTTCTTCATAAATGTTCCCGACACACGTGTTCCGGTCGAAAAATAAAATAATATTTAAAGTGCTCTATTTTTCGTCCAATAAAAATGCTTCCCTCCTAATTATACTCGCTTCGTTTCTCGAGCCTGTTGAGCCATAAAAAAACGCTATAAAAGGGGTCACAGGGAAGTTCAACAGGCAGTCAACAGGTGGCCACAAGGGAGATCGGTCACGTTCAGCAGCTGTCAGCAGGAGACCACCAACCACCGTCAACATGTGTGAACTACTATGAGAGATCGACCAGATCCGAAAACCGGCTTATGAACTTTACCACAAGGTAGCTGTCCCAAACCCTCACGTTCCTGTTGAAATAAACCACGTAAATCTATTTCTGCTGTTGTCGTATTTCTTTCTTGCAACCATACGCTTGTCTTAAACAAAGACAAATTCAACAATGCGATATTTTGTATTTTTGTTTTATCTCACATAAGACTACCATTCGTCCATGCTTAGAATATTGCTGCCATATATGGTCCGTTGCCCCTACTATTTACCCTGAGTTCCTTGATAAGATCCAGAGAAGAATCAACAATATTAATGTCCCTGATCTGGTGGCTCGGTTCAGTCACTTGGCTACCGCCGTAAGGTTGCTCTCTGTGCCTCTTTTTGTTGTGAGGCTCTCCCCTTTTTACATATGGACTCGTCCAAAGTATACTTATACTGACAGAGAGAATGTCTGCTGTTGAGTTACGTCGAGATACAGTCTCGACGTCTGTCGAACTCTCCACTTTGCCAGAGAGGAACCCGGGCGAAGCTTTGCCGAAGGGCAAGGTTTCGTCCGTGGAGGTAGACAGGCCCTGAACCCGTCTAGGCGGGTTCAAAGGTTATATTTTTGGCCGAGCCTACGGGCTCGGAGAAACCCACTTTATACTCGGCCTTGTGCCACATATATTCCTCGTGGGTGGAATGTTAAATATTGAGATACGTCGAGATACATCTCTGTGTTCGACGTTTGACGAACTCTCCGCTTTGCCAGAGAGGAACCCGGACGAAGAATTGCCGAAGGGCAAGGTTTCGTCCGTGGAGGTAGACAGGCCCTGAACCCGTCTAGGCGGATTCAAAGGGAATATTTTTTGCCGAGCCCACGGGCTCGCAGAAAACCACTTTAAACTCGGCCTTGTGCCACATATATTCCTCGTGGGTGGGATATTAAATACCGAGATACGTTGAGACAGGTTGAGAGATACGGAGACAGACATAGGATGTTCTCAGAGAGTTAGTTATACAAGAGTCCAGAGAGAGAGAGAGAGAGAGAGAGATGATTACGGCTTTATTTACAGAGACTTGTACATATACTTTCTACTAACCCGCATTCCTGGACGTCTAATCTTCATTTAAAGTCTGTATTCTTACGTTTAATACACTTATTTTTCTATCTCAATTACTGGCGTTGTTTATTTATTTGTGCAGGATTCCATTCACGGAATCTACAACACTTTTTATAAATACTTTCATGGTAATTGTTCAGATGAGCTCTTTGCTGTTACCTAGACTTCATGAATTTAGGCGCAATACTAGAACTGCGGCGAGATTTCACCAATGTACGGTTGATCTAGCTTGATGTAGCTTCTACGCTAACAATTTATTTTCTCATACTTCACGCTTGTGGAACTCCCTCTCGGTTCTATGCTTTCCAGACAACTTTAATCTGCAAAAATTTAAGTACAATATCAATCGCTATCTACTGTCCTCCTGATTACTCTTTTCTTTCTCCTCATTACTAATGTTTCTGTTCCTAATTCCTCCACGACCTCTAATCCCTTGGCATTTAATGGCTATAGTGCCTTGCTTGGGGTGATACCGATTAAAAAAAACTGAGTAAAAAGAGAAAATACACGAGTATGAATCTAAAGGAAGAAGAAAGTTAGGATTTATGTGGGTGATACACGTGTGTGAGTTTGTCAGCTGCTAAGGGGAATGATATCCCCATGCACGGAGAGGTCCCGTTTGGCTTTGTCACTCCAGCGTGATGGGAGGGAAAAAAAGAGCATGAAGGCAGGCAGTGTCCAGTTTTTATAGCTGCTTTACACTTTACAGCATTAGCATCAACGACTTCTTAGCGAAAACTGGCAAAGCTATGAGAGGTTATTAACCCATAAGAGAGACCGATTTTTATTAGCGCTCCAGAGATTTATTGTTCCTTTCATGATTTTAAAAGGAATAATTTCATTCCTTTTGTTTCTCAAATTACTGAAGTTCTGAAATTCTCTAATACGTAGTTTTACCTCCATGCAGAGTTTGCAATTTCTTCTTAATTTTTTCTTTAAGTGTTTCATTGTATATTCCATTCTACGGATAGGATTTTCTGTTTTAGCTTTATCTACTATAAATATATATATATGTTTTGACAATATATAATGTTACACATATTTTTCATATTTAAATAATAACAAATGATTCGCATATCTCCCTTTGGATTATTTCCTGTTTACTCCGATGTAAATCCTTTCTTCCTTTGTTGTCACCTGGTAGAACATACTTTTCTCTCTGCAATTTCTCTTCAGTGAATATATTGTTTTTTTTATTTCTACACATTTTTTCCTTGGAAACACTATTAAAAATCCGTCACCCATTTTGAAAATCGCTAAACAGGAAGTAAGCGATATAAATGGGTAAGTAAAACGAAACGTTTATACTTTATATGCATGATAATGGGGTAATAACACAAGAAAGTTTAATGTATATAAAAATCTCTTTTAAAGGAATTTAAAATAAAGCACTCTTATAAATGTAAGGAGTTGAATATATGAATTTTCCTTCTTTCTGATGAGTTGTCTAATATCCAGATTGCGAGTATTTTTCAAATTCAGAGTATTTTAAATTCCCACAAGCCACTGCCAAATAAAAATTATATCTGCTTTATTATAAAAGTGTTTAGAGCTCGCTCGCTCGCTCGCTCGCTCTTTCTTTCTTTCTTTCTTTCTTTCTTTTTTTCTTTCTTTCTTTCTTTCTTTCTTATCAGTATCTCTGATATATTGCATTCACTTACACCTCCCCGCAACTAAATAGTAGGAGTTGTATGCAGAAAAATCATTGTTATTCTATAAAAACTCTGTTTAAGCAATATTTGCTCGTAAAAGAAGAAAATATTCTTACAATCCAAAATATGCTTCGGCTTTAAATAATCCATAAAAGCTTGATTAGCCTCCCCCCCCAAAAAAAAAACCAACATGCAAATCAATCACATTCTCTGATATATCTTTTTCTTCCGTCTTTCCTCGTAATCAAAATTATTTATCTGAAGTAATGAGGGAGCGTAACAGATGTGCTAACTAACTTACGAAACAGTGGAACAAGCACAATTATAATATGTCAAGGGGATGCTGAAAAGTCATCAGGCCGACGAAGAAGTCCTTCAAAAGATTCATATAATACTTACTATAAACGCAAGATAAATATTAGCATATAATACTCAAACACTATATGGCACTGTTTGTAAAGAAAGGTCCCGAATATTCTAAGTTATATTGAAGAAAAGAAGGAAAACATTGCGTATAAAATATTTTAATTTGAGTACGATTTTATGCACTCCCAACAAACGCACACACGCACACACAGAGACACATATATATATATATATGGGGAAAATTTTATGACAAAGAGGAAAAAGTTTACTTGTGACGCGTTTCGTCCTTCAGGGCTTTATCGGATGAAACTTCGAAGGACGAAATGCGTCACAAGTAAACTTTTTCCATTTTTTCATAAAATTTCCACAACCAATACTGTTCTTGATATATAAAACATATATCGTTATTTCATATATATATATATATATATATATATTAAGAATATCACTTACTAACTTTGGTTTATTGACACATTGAATTGTGTCACTTCGCGTCCTCCACAGCCAGACATTTTGGCAACCCCGTTGAATATTTATGAGCGTTTCTAAGTTTAAACTTTTTTGAAAAACCAATAACAGTTTTTGCTCTTGTATATAATACTTCTCACAAAATAAAAATCCTTGCATTTGCCTTGATAAGGACTTCATAGGACGAATCGCGTCGTCTAAGATAAGTTTTCCTTTCCTTTTGTCTTCTTATATTATCTATTAAACAGTTATCAGACCTTGTGTTTTGATTCAAAGCGTGCATCTTCCATTCACCATGCAGCATTCTATGTTCACATTGTGCCTATCTATCTATCTATCTATCTATCTATCTATCTATCTATCTATCTATCTATCTATCTATCTATCTTTGTGCGTGAGTGTTCCTGTACTAAGAAAATGTCTGTCTGTTTATACTGAACAGGTTTCAACAAAGGAATTTAAACTCACAAACAGGTGATTCCGACAGAATAATACAAATATTTGTAAATAATAACCTGTTTCCAAGTGTTTAATGTTTTAACTTTTTTGGTGGTAGTTAATGTTCTAGTGTATTCTGATTTCTCCAAAGTCTTTGAAATACCTTTTATACTTTGATATATAAATAGGTAAGTCAAGATTAGGATGTGAGTCGGGTGCCTGGCAACTTATCAGTGTGAGTTAACAGTCTCCATAGAACTGTTAGGAGTTTAGGGTTGGGACACAGATGGCACGGCGAGTAGGACTTGAGTTGAAGTGGATGAAAGACAAATTGAATTTGTCCAGAAATAATGTCAGGCCCGAATTCCCCGGATAAATAAAAGCTGCGTTCGAAACGAAGTGGCTAATTTTGGACTCATTAAAACAAGCGATGACCAAACACTGGCTTTTAAATTTATTCGAAATGACAAATTTGGGCAGGCATGCGAATGATTCCGTGAGAGGAAGGAGTAACAATGTACGAAACTTTAATTCGGACTGTGGTAGATTTTATAACTATTCAAATGAATGGCCTGGGCCCCTGTAGCTGAATATATGTACCACCTCGGGACGTTGGCGATTATGGCTCTCCACAATTTTCCTGTCCTTTTCGCTCTAAGTAAATTCTGCCTTTCCGTTATTTCTCTTAAACCCTTTCCCGCTATCCATTTACTCAAGCTCGTCAGGTATGTTATGCGTTCTTTTCCTCTGTCCCTCTTGTCCTCAGTCTGTCTTGTGAGTATCAGATTTTCCAAGCCCTCTTTCCTCATTATGTGCCCCAGATATGTCAACTGCCTCTTCCAGATGTTAAGTATAAGTTTCCTTTATGTTTCCATTTTTTCTATAACGCCGTCGTTGCTCATCTGTTCGAGCTAATGTTATCTTCATCAATCCTCCTGTAGAACTAGATTTACGCTGCTTCAATTCTCTTCAATGTAAATTACAAACCGGAGATACCAAAATCAATCAAGCACAGAAATTTAATTATCTGGGAAATGTTCTAATAGAAGTCGGAAAATAAGTCACTGAAATTCGAAGACGCATTGAGATAGGCAAAGATGCTTTCCAAAAGCTAAGCAGAGTATTAAAAGGCAGAAAAAAAAAACAAAAATAAACTTCGTTAGACACAAAGAAAAGAGTACTGAAATGTTACGCGATATCTTTCTTCATATATGGCAGTGAATGCTGGACAATTTCCTCAAAGATGTAGCTTAATACAATCAGAAAAAGACACGACTTATTTATTGCCGCTGTCAAGAGGCCTATTCCAGATTAAAGCTCACCAATGCGTTGACGCAAAATATCAAATTCATGCTGAGTGCTGAGGTTCGTTAACATGCACTCATGTGAAAGTTTTAATTGGAATAAGGTGGATATGATGGTAATAGAGATTAACCGTTTCTATGCAAGAAACATTCGATATTCATTGACCGAACAGTTAGTGTCACAGTCGGTTGAACTGTACAGAATATTTCTCTTAAAACGTTTTTAAATGTGTTCCTTTAATACATCTAATGGTAAACATAAAAGTATTTTTTTATTCAGTTCACCACAAGCAAGGCAATAAAACGAATAAGACATAAGGGATTACTGAGTGGGAAAGAATAAGAAAAAGAAAACATTATTAAGGAGAGAGAAAAATAAAAAAGAGAGAAATCAGGAAAACAGTAGATAACGGTTGGTAGTGCATTTAATTTTTTGAAGATCAAACTTGTCTGGAAATCAAGAAGCCAGAAGAGAGTTTGATGTAATGGAATAACCAGTCACCGCCATGAATGATTACACTATCGGTAGTAAGTATCTATAAAGTCTACTGTCTACGAGAGAGAGGAGGTGAGAGCGAGACGACGCGAGCACGTCCTTCCAATTAAGTGGCACTTTCTACTAGATTGACATGTGTGTATAACTCTACCGTATTTCATATTGTACTTGTTGTGTACAATAAACCTTTCTTCTATTATCCACCTGGTGTTATTTCCCTTGGCACGGAATATAACAGAGTTCCACAAGCGAGAAGTGCTATAAAAGAAACTGTTAGCATAGAATTTACGGTTCTAGCCATTTCAACTATAATATAATGAGACCTTGTTGCCAAACTATTAATGCGCTTAAATTCATAAAATCTGGGTAGCATAGAGGAAAGTTAATCGGGACAATAACGATGAAAGTATTAGGTTGGTGCAAAAGTAATGACGTAAGAATGTCGTTTTTTGACGTTAAAAAATACGTCAAAAAACGACATTATTACGTCATTATTTTTGCACCAACCTAATATTTATAGAAAAAGCACAGGAAAGCTACATTACGATGGTGGGAAAAATATGAGAGACATATATTGACAATCTTAGAAGATTACATATTTCTAGAAAAACTAAAGAAGGTAGCATCGGAAACAATTCATGAAACAATGACGCTTCTCGGAAAAATGACGAAGGCAACATATGAAATTCTTCGACTAAAACAAGAAGAACAAAGACAAATGATCAAATAATTTTAGAAATAATAACATTCATTTCAAAACATTTTCCTATTCATACTTATCGTAATTTCAGTTAAGGCCTTTAAAGGAAATTGAATTACAATAGAAGGTTACGATAGTATTAACGGTTATGTGCCGTGTACCTTCAGAATGTTAGCGATCATGGCTCTCCACTACTTCCTATCTTACTTAGCTCTTTTCGCTATTTCCCTCATCGGTGTTCTTTCATCTATTTACACAAACTCGTTTAGGTAGGTTATTCACAGTGTTACTCTGTCTCTCTTGCTTTCCTGTGTCCTGTGAATGTCAAATTTTTCAAGCCCTCTTTCCTCATTACGTGCTCTATAAATTTTAACTGTCTCTTTCTGATTCAAATTATTTTGTTTCCATTTTCCTTAAAGCTTCTTCGTCACTCGCGTGTTTAGTCGATAGACGGCTCAGCAACCTTCTGTAGAACCACATCTTTGTTGCCTCAAGTTGTTCAGTATTTACTACCATAATGGATGATTGATGCTACATAGCAGGCCAGCATTCTTTTCCTGATTTCTAATATTTTGCTTAGATTCTGGAAGGCATCTTTCGCTCTTCCAATGCGCTTTGGGATTTCAGTAAGTAACCTAATCTGGAAAAGGGCTGCAAGGAAAATTCCCGTGAGAAATGTATTAAAAAGCTGTTCTCTGAGACGTGCTTATTCATAACCAACCCGTTATAGGATAATTTTTTGATTTTTAAAAAAAAAAAGATAATTGTGGTGTTTAAATAGATCTCGACTATCGTATGAAATAACGTTACCAATTTCGGTAGAAGAAAAGTGATGATTGAATTTTAAAATTGATCGATTATTGCAGTGATGTGAAGAAAAGCCATGATGGTGGTGCATATAATTAACTATGTAGGTCTTAACGAGGACCATCCTTCTTGGAACCTAGTGGACTGACGTTACAGAATCACAAACAAAAAACTGTGTCAAATAACAGAAAACACGTTACTTGAAGACTTTGAACAGTAGCAACAATTACACATGTAATTTGAAGAGAAATTAATGTCAGAATCAAGATGGGAAGCACGGTGGAGTAATGAATAGAGGCTCGGATTGAAGAATCGGTGAGCCGAGTTCGAATTCATTACACTTACATTCTAGTCGATTCTTTTACCCTTACGCGCTAATACTCTTGGGAAAGGTATGAATCCTCTTCTTCTCTCCCCACCCCCAGCTATGAGTAAATAGCAGGACAGTCCGGGTTCTGTAGCTTTGGATGGCAACTGGTCTACTGCAGAAAGAAATGGCAGTCTAATGCAGGAAAAAAAATCTGCCTCATCAGTCATGTATCGAAAGATACATGATCGCCTAAGCGTGTATCACGCATGGGACATAACTGATCGAATCAAGATGTTGTCATTCCACCCTACTTCAAGCAAAACTTTAAGATTGGTTTTGGTTTGTTTTGTTTTACGGCATATCAATCTCAATGGGTCATTTAATGCCGACAACATTTTTATTGCTGGTAAATATTTTTCTTTCAAAAATCTATTTTTGGTAATTTTTTTTTTCAAAAATGTATTGCTGGTAATAATTTTTTTACAAAAAGCATTTCTGGTATTAAAAGCTATTTTTACACTTTCATAGTGTTTTGACCCCAGTTTGTGTGGTGGGGGGTTCACTATTTGCCCATAGCTGGGACCCTAACAGGTGCTACGACCCTTGGTCAGGGCGGACCTGGGAACACCAGCATCCAAGAGGTAGCTCCACGCTCCTCAAAACCTCCTGTTCAGAGGCCTTACTGCTGGACGCAGCCCATCGTCTTATCCAGGATGTGGATGTAGTTTTATCGTCATACCCAGAACAGACAAAACGTTAAGAAGAAAGCCTTCATCAATACTGGGAAGAGCAATAACAGTGGATTTTTTCCTGAAAAATTGTTTTAAGAGAAACTTTATGAATTTCAACCGATAGTAGTACAAGCTGGTCGGTCAATGAATGCCGAATGTTTCCTTATAAGGAAACGGGTCATATTATTATCATGATCGTCCTCGACTGTAAGGCTGATGGCATACAAAACAATAAGAAGACTGTCAATTTAATATACAGATTTTCCTTCCATACAAATAAATAAATAAATAAAATAAAATAAAAATGATTACGTCATATTTTACATTTATTGCATGGCAAATGAATACTGGTGTGCATTCCGGTAGGTAACAGCTACCCTCTTCGCTTTCTACACAATTTGTACACGTGATGAAGGTCGTTGAAGAGATCAACTGAAATATAGTAATAACAGAAGCGGCAAATAAAAGGTTCTTCTTGCCAAATGTTTCCTCATAAAGAAACGGCTGACATTACTATTATCATAATACGGACATTGGTATTAATGTTGATTGTGATATTGCCTCTATCTAATTTAGGGTACTAGCAGAAGATGTATTAGCACTTTAGATAGGGTGACCATAGACTGAACACAAATGAATTTTATGAAAAATAGACGCTTATACCTAGAATCAAAAATTTCTGATGCACATAACGAGAAAAGAGGGCTTAGAAAAGTTAACACGAACAGGTTAGAGTGAAAAGGACAAAGGAAAGCAACACATAACCTACCTAAGGAGTTTGTGTAAACGTTGGAGAGAACAAGAACTGGAGGAGATAGGAAAAAGACAAACTTTACTGAGAGCTACAAAGGACAGGAGGTTGTGGAGAGCCATGATCGGTCACGGCACATAGAAGGAGATGATGTTCATAAATAAATCACGAGGAATGGTACAATGATTGCATGTCAAAATGAGAAAGAAAGAAAGATTATAATGATGAGCATGATGATGATGATGAGGAAGAGGAGGAGGAGGGATAGTAAGAGGGGAGAAAAGCCCATTTGGAGCAGGTGATTCTATGCAAGGTTGCAGGGCAAACTCAGGTTTTTCGCGCTGGTGATGAGAGTATCTTTTCTATTTGCTATGCAAGTATCGAAAAGAACGGAGAATTAGACATGTCAGAGATGTCCATAGATGTGGTAGCAATTGCAACAATGGCGGACTACAGGGGATGGCACCAGTGATAACTGCGCGAATGGGTAGCATTGGACGGGGAACGAGAGACTGTTGAGGCGATAAGAAAACCTGTTAATTGTTCTATTTCCCTCTCTTTCGCCGCGAATACTTACCCACTTGCACGCCTAACCACTTATCCATGTTACCTACTCATCAACATTTCCCATCAATTCCGTCGTCGACACTTCTACCTTGCTGTTCGTGTATTCTCATCTCATTTCGTGTTAGCGACAGTGTTCCAGGTTCCAGAAATAAAATGCTCGGTTTCGTCTATAAATCGCAAATTTGCATCAGGATATACTCATTCTTTGACTTTTCCCTCTCCTTCCTTCAAGTATTCATCCACAGCGTTATGGCCTGGCCTGGGAGGGGGGTTGAAGCTCCTTACTTTTGGCTGAAATTGAGAACTAAACAGAAGACTAAATTTGTCTTCTTGGCCCCAATCTATTACGATGCAATTAAGCTGAGCTGTATCATTTGCCTAAAATTATTACCGCCAGTAGTTTTCAAACAAATAAGAAAACTTCATTTTCCGTATTTTTTTTTTTTACTTTTTGTTTTCCTCGTTATTCCTTAAGTCTTATATGCGAGAAAAGTCTTTATTCCTTAAGTCTTATATGAAGGAAAAGTATTTATTCATTAAGTCTTATACGAAGGAAAAGTATTTATTCCTTAAGTCTTATAAGCGGGAAAAGTCTATATTCCTTAAGTCTTAGAAGTGTGTTAAGTCTTATATGCGAGTAAAGTCTTTATTCCTTAAATCTTATACGCAAGAAAAGTATTTATTCCTTAAGTCTTATAAGCGGGAAAAGTCTATATTCCTTAAGTCTTAGAAGTGTGTTAAGTCTTATATGCGAGTAAAGTCTTTATTCCTTAAATCTTATAAAGTATTTATTCCTTAAATCTTATACGTCAAGAAAAGTCTTATTTATAAATCTTATACGCAAGAAAAGTATTTATTCTTATAAGTCGGGAAAAGTCTATATTCCTTAAGTCTTAACTCTTAGTCTTAATGCGAGAAAAGTCTTTATTCCTTAAATCTTATACGCAAGAAAAGTATTTATTCTTTAAGTCTTATAAGCGGGATATGTCTTCATCCCTTAACTCTTATAAGCGAGAAAAGTCTTTATTCCTTAAGTCTTATATACAGGAAAAGTGTTTATTCCTTAAGTCTTATAAGCGAGAAAACTCTATAGGTCTCACTCCAGGAAACATTTTTTTAATCACTTTACACCAAGCAAGTCAACAAGGCCGCCAAGACGCAGGGGTTTACTGAGTGTGAACGAATATAAGAAAAAGGAGAAAAAAAAACATCATTAAGGAGCAAGAACAATAGAGGAACAGGAATTAAAAAGACGGAAGTTAACGATTGACATTGCTTTTAAATTTTTGAAGACCAAACTTGACTCGAAAGCGAGAAGAGGGTTCCACAAGCGAGAAGTGCTAGAAAATAAATAGTTAGTCTAGAACATACGGCTACATCTAGCCATTTCAACTGTAAAATGACGAAACTTTGTTGCCAATCTAGTACTGAGCTTAAATTCATAAAGTGTAGGTAGCATAGAGGAAAGTATTCATAGAAAAGTCACATTCGAAGCTACATTACGGTGCTGGTAAAAATGACCGAAGCCGAGATGCCAGGTGCAGAACCAATAACATTGCAGATTCTTATTTGGATTTTATCAAGAATTTCTAAATATATACAGGCGAAAAAGCAAGAAAAAAGGTAAGTAAATTAAAAATAAAAAAAAAATCTACAATAGAATTCTTCTTCTTTTAGTAGCCATGTCTCTTCAGGATGTGAGCTATCATGGCTCTCCACAATTCCTTACTTTGGTACCTTTTAGAAATGATTTCTGTTTACTATTTCTCACAATCCTTGTTTCGCCATCCATTTACACAGGTTCATTCGGCAGATTTGCTTGATGTTTCCCTTTGTCCCTCTTGCTTTCAGTTTTTCCTATGAGGGTAAAATTCACCAAGCCATCTTTCCTCATTGTGTCCCAAAAGTGTCAACCGTCTCTTTTTGAATTTAATCATCACCGTCTTTTTTGTTGCTATTTTCTTAAAATTTCCTCTTTGTTCATGTGTTCCGTTCGTGGTATTCCCAGCATCTCTTTGTAGAACCACATCATTATTGCCTCAAGTCTCTTCTTCATCTGTGAGGAAATTGTCCAACATTCACAGAGGAGGATTGATGTTAGTTACATAGCAGTTGGGCGCGCTTTTTTTTGTTTCTATGTTTGAAAAATGTTTATTTTATGAGGAGCAGGTAAAAAAGTATAGAATCAGGAATCTTTGAGACTTAATATCTGATTCATCCCCACCCCAAATTCTTAAGGGGGTGGGGATAATCTGATTTATCCCCCTTCACACCATCACCACCATCACATACACTCTTTATTTTGTGGCGTCCTGTTTGCTATAAGCCATCTCGTGCCAAGTTAGTTATTGATACTTTTATCTTCTTACTCTATCTTCGTCCGCAACTCTGAACCCGGGGTTTTTATGTTCCTTTTGACGTCATCCTCTCATCACACTCGCCACTCACGATTTATTTCATTCGCATTTCCCACCCCTAAAATCCTATCAGCTAACACCTACATCACCGCTCCTATCTCAACCATGACCACTGCTATTTTACAATCACAAACACTACTGACACGTTCCTTCTGTTTCTGCTTCCTACCCCGCATGAACTGAAGCAGTCTCACACACCTTGCCTTTACCCAGAATTGGACTGTGCTGGACAAACTCTGGACAGCAGGTTGCCTTAGAAACAAGAACTGACCACTAATCTATCATAAACACGACTGAAAATAAAAGATGACGGATGATACCCCTAACAAGTTCATCCCTGCCCCTTGCAATCGCAAGATAGCTCATCAATCCTTTCTACCAAACCAACACGCTACTAAAATGCTCAGGCCGCCATCGTCAGTAATGTGACAATTTTTGCGACACTATTAAAACTATCTGCTCGCACAAGTGATATTTAGCCCCCCTTGAGGACAACAAATCCGACTATGTTTCATGAAAAAAAAAGAGCTGGTTTCTCTTTCTTTTCGATTTACCTTTCTTTTTCTCTCTCTCTCTCTCTCTTCTTTTCATGTCCTCCTATCTGTCTGTCAACGGCACGAGCGAATTAACCAGAAAGAGCAGATGCGGTGACACACAGAGTAGGGGCGTTGGGGTATTGAGGGACGGGACCCATACTATCCGGGAGATTATATGCCCGTCGTTCATGAGTAATAAAATTCGCACACTTTTACTAGGCAACTGACCTAAATTGATACAATCGATACGGGCGGGTAATAAAACTCTGAAAATCTGCAATGGCACCAAGGCACGCCTTTCCCTACCCTATCCTGCTTCTCTACCCGTCTTCATATTCTCACACTGTGCGAACATACTAACTAATACAGCTAACTCTGGTCATCATTTTGACACGCAGCCGATTTTAATCAGCGAAACTGGAAACCGCCAGGCAAAACAAAGTAAAATAAAATTTTAAAAAGTAAATAAAATACAGTAAAAAAAAATAAATAAAAAAATACAATTGAATAAAAAAGACTAACAAGCAGAAGTTGGTCATATTTGTATTAAGTCTTCTTAATTTTTAATTAGTACGAATAATGAATATGAAAATTAACAGGTCACTCCTTACCGGAATCTGCTTACTATATGTGTGTGTGTGTGTTTTGAACAATAGAAAAATGTTAAAAAAGTTAACATTTTAGACACACTGGGTTGGATATTAATATTTTTTTATTGTTTAAATTAGGTTTCTCAACTAGTTTCGGTCAGAATGGCCATGATCAGAAGAAAAAAAAATCCTGCTTGTTAAGTAGCAGTGAACTACGGGGATGAATGACTGTCTCTGAAGAAAGTGCACTTTGCCTGTAGTTTTCATTTATCGTTAATTTTTGATCAGTCCTCGTATTGGTCAAAAGACCTCTTTCAAGTTCTTATATATATATATATATATATATATATATATATATATATATATATATATATATATATATATATGAGAATAAACGTGTAATTATTATCCAGATATAGACACGTCCGTCGAAAACGGTAGGAGTAGGCTTTACCGTCTCGAGGAAGGTAGTAGCACCGGAAAGTGCTCAACAGAGCAAATTACAATTCGAGTTAAGAAATAAATGTTACTTTGTCGCCACGGCAATCTAAACAATATCGTAAGCATTAAACTAAGCCTCATCACATAAGATGAAGGATTCCAGAATAATTCTAAATGATTCAACCATTTAACCTAATGCCAGGTGTGTTAACAAATAATAACATGCTCTCATTAGCCAACTAACCTTTGTTTCCGAGTGCCAATGCACAATATATAGGGTGAATGCTTAAACATACTAAGACTAATTTTAGATAAAGAAAAAAGGCAACATTTAATGAATAGTCAGGAACAGTTTTCCCTGCTTCCCAAAATATTTAATATTTTAGTGCAGAAAATGAATAAAGCTGTAGTATGTAATTTTGGTACAAAGACATAAGACGAGTCAGGTGCATCCGAAGTTTGACCACCCAACCACCAGGTTCAGATTTATGCTTCATAGAATGTCAGTTGCTGTCCCGACAAGTAAACAAGCGACCCAGCTGCTCTTATGATGCGCACATGCAGTATGATCTGGAATAACCATTGTACGCAATTCTCTCAACAGAACATCAAAGTCGAGTATACCAGGGTTAGTGATTTGGGGTTAGTTCCAGCCGCTGAGTTGGAAAGCACCGGACCTCACATCTGCATCCGGTTTGCAGGCGTAGGGAAGAGTTGAGGTACTGGCGGTAAGATAAACAGCCGTACATATAGACAGAATCTAAATTCTGTGTGTCGGACGAGGATGTTGAGCCACTTGCACCACAAACTGGCCAATTGGAGTAGATAAAACTGTACCATTAAATACGACATCTTCAAGTCTTGTGTTATCATTGAGGCGGCACACACACACACACACAAACATACACATACGTGGGACAGCCGGGTGATAGGATGTCGAGCAAAGTAATTTCTAAAGAATTAATGGATTTTTTTAATTCGACATATTTTTATTACTTTAAACGTAATTTTAGCGGATCCCCGTATTTGAGTAGACGTTCTGATTATTTTAAACAAAATCTATTCACTGAATAGATTTTGAATAGTATTCAGTCTTCCGGCGTACGTACACAAGAAAACTCAACAAAGAAAATGTGCCCTCCGGCAGGATTCGAACTCTTGTCCCCCTTTGCACAAAATAACCACCATCTGTTTTGGCATGTTTTTACTGAGCTGTATCCACTTAACAAAATGACGTTTCTTCAAATTTATAGAGAGCCAAAACGTTTTTTGTAGATTTTACACAAAGTGCCTGTAATTTTACATTAACAGAAAAATTTGGTTCTGAACTTCTCAGCTCTCACTGTCTACTCTCGATAGAGTCCAAAAGCGTCCCAATGCCCTTGTGGGCGATAAATTATTTCCCACCCTGCGACCCCTTTCTCACAGACGGTTTGATGGCTACTTCCATGGAAAGGGCTCAGACGAATTACCCTCCTTATTTCAACCAGTTATAACTTTCACGGCTAGGACCTGCCATGTTACGCACATTGGAGTGAACCACCCTCATGCCTTCCGCATTCCATCAGTGAGAAGTAAGTTCCACCCAAGCAGCTTCTTCCCAAAAACCACTGCTCTGTGGAACCAACACCCAAAAGGATGTTTTCCCAATCACTACAATCATTATCTTCCCCACCTATCTGCATAAAACTGTGCCTCTTACTCTGTAACTCTCTATCATGTGTGGCTCACTGGCCTTTTCCAGGATGGACTTATTGGATAAGAAACGTGCATTCATGATCTAAATTACTGATTGTCAGTTTTTAAGAGTACCAACATAAATTTTATACTTGTATTGTTAAGTGAAGAAAAAGTATTGTGATGTTTTTTTGACTAGTGTGGAATTTTTCAACTACAACGATATACAGCGTTTCTGTTATGACAACATTGGAGATTAGGGGTCAGTTTGGTGTTAGGAAAATAGGTGATTGCAATGTAAGAGTGACGTCATTACAATGTCACATATCTCCCAACCAAAATATACATCTTCAATGTTGCAAGAAATTTCTGT